GAACTTTGTCCTGCGACATGGCCGTCACTGCCTCCACGGAGTCGCGACGTCGATCTCCTTGAGGGTCAAATCGAATGGGCAACACGCGCAGGTCCTTGGCTGTGGAAGTGGACAGCTCTGACTTCTTGATCTTCTTGATGGCCAAAGCTGACCGTCAGGATCAGGGCCTTGTCGGTCCCAAGGGAGACATGACCTGCGGGAAGCACCATGCCGGGTTTGATCACAATCTGTCCCATGGAGTATGGAGGGAGGTTCTCCAAGGAAATCCAAACCTCTTCTTCAGCGACTGCAACAGCTAGACCAGCGGCAGCTATTGGAGCTGCCCCTGCGCCCCTGCGCCACCAGCTCCAGGAACGGGGGAACGGGTGAAGGAGGGAGACCTCTGGCACCACGAATCCCGGCCGCATAGACATATATAAGTTGTTCGTAGCGGACCGCAGTCAGGGCTCTAAAGCCATATACCCGAGCGTGGTTGAGCCCTGGCGGGATTGGACTTCCCAAGCCAGGACCGCCATATGTGAAGGCGACCAAGTCTGAGTTTGTCGCTGACATCTCTTCCTCATACGCATCTTCATCTGGGGCTGGGGTCACTATAGCCCACAGGGCTCCGTCGATCTGGCATCCCAGCAGCCGGATGTGGATAACCTGGGGAACTTCTCCGTAGTCCAGGTAGCAGACGTCTCCCTGTTTCATTGCACCCCGTCACGGAGCTGGAGTGGAGAGCCGAAGACGCCTTTTCGTCCCTTACCTTTCGAGACCTCCGGACATCGAAGATTGAAGAAGACGAAGAGGGCTAATCCCAGGCCAAGGCACACGATAGCCGCCAAAGCACCGTGACCGCCAAATCTTTCCAGGTGAAGCCCTTGTCGGGAATTGGCGCAGCACAATGACACTCACAACTACACGGTCTCTCAGGAAGGCCTCGACTACCAGTGGCCGTGAGCCCCAAACCTATGCCAGTCACCAAAACCCCCAAAAGGACGAGGGAGTCCATGCGCTCCCGATCCCTCCGAGCTGAGATCCTTGAGATCAAAGCCATCGGCACCTATCGTTCCGTCCGTTAAACCACTCGTGCATTCAAAGAATACTTCCATGCACATCACCGCCATCACCGCCATGCACTTCACCAGGTCGCAAATCACCATATTGCCCTTCTTCGCATTACGTCAGACTTCAGCACATGGCACATTTTCGCACACTGACAACAATCTCAAAAACACAAACACAAAACAACTGCATGTTCAAATGGCATGGATGATTAATGTCCATGTCCACAATCTGTAGGGATTTCCAAGCAGAATAAACCTTGACCCAGAAACTCAACAACTTATGTGAAGCGCGCGTTTACGATTGCCTGCGACATAATCATCGTCTGTCCAAGTTGACACAATGAGAGTCTTGCTTAGCCACGGCACCCATCACGGCAGGAGAAGGTCGAGTTGGTCATCAGCGCCCATAGAGAGCCGCAAATGACCAGCAAACCCAAGACTCCCAACCGGCGCATCTGCATCACCGAAAAACGACTCGGACACAAGTTAGTTTGAAGAAAAGTCCCCTCATGGGTCGGCTTACAGGCCACTCATAGAAGTGTTTTGCAAAGCCTCCTCGATATGTTATGATTGCATGACCTGCCCACTTTGGAGCAGCTCAACAGATCTGAAAGCTGCGACAGAGCAATCTCACAATCCCATACATACACTTTGTCAAAAGAGACTTAGAAGAAAAATTTTCGTCTTATGGACATCTTCAATCTAAGTACCAAACGCAGTGCAAGAGTAGTGTAAGCAAGCGCGCAACAACAGTAGCGCAAGTCACCGTTGCACAGTAACAGTCTTGTAAATCAGCGGTGCACAATGACCGTATTTCACATGTAACAGTAATTAGTCTAGGTCAAGGCGCAGAGCAACAGTAGCGTGAGTCACAGATGCGCACTAATAGTAGCGCAAGTGATAGTTGCACAGTAGCAATAGCATAGCTAACCGACGAATGGCCCAGAGCGTGGAAACACGAGGGCGCCAGTATTTAGGCGCACTGTATCTCATAGGAAGGTATGTGAAGAACCCGATTGGAAGACTTTCTGTGGAGTGGAGAGGTGAGTGGCACCTAGCACTCCAATTTTGCCACGCGGAGACTAAATACAACAATGTAACAACAAGCATCCTGGACGCCGCCAACCATCCCGCTCCCCAGGAACACGCCGAATTTATGCCAGAATGTTTTCCTCGCCCAGTGGCCCGGACTTACGCAAAAACGCACTTTCCACCGAGACCGCGCAAAACCGCATCGCACAGCGACGACGAAAATTGGGCCACAGGGCGCGCAACCAACTAGATACAACCATGTAACTCCAAGCTTGGTGGCACCGCCAATCTTCCCGCTCCTCAGCGACACGCCAAACTTACACCAACGCGCTTTCCCTCCCCCAATGGCACGGACCCACACAAACGCACTTCCACCGCAGCCGTGCAAAAACGAACGGCGCCGCGACATCACAGACGTCATTTCGCCACACAGTCTGCCACAAACAAGTTCTCAAGCCACAGCTCCCACAAACTTCTGTAGCGCATTTTTACTAGCAAGTGGCCAATCTCAGAAGCCACAATAAAAACATGTGCACAATTGGCCAATTCTGCAAATGTCGCAGCTTGCAGAAGCAGTTCTGAGGCTACAGCTCCCAGAAAGCATTTATGTCTACTAGCCTACAGCCAGTTCTGATGCTGCAGCTACCAGAAGCCACCTCCCGCGCTACATGCCTACAACAAAGTTCATATTTATACGACAGCTACACACTCTAGCGTGCAACTCACCACCGTTCTCGGCGACAGTTGCACACGTTGAACTTGGCAACCTCCTCCTTCGTTCTCGGCGACAGTCACACAGATCGGCGAACTCCGCCTTCGTTATCAGCCACAGTTATGCGTTTTAGCAACCTCCACCTTCGTGAAGTTTTCCACGACAGTTCCACACTTTGGCAACCTCCACCGTGTTACATTTTTTGGCAGCCTCCACCTTCGTTCTCGGCAACAGTTACACACTTAGGCAACCTCCACCTTCGTTGCACGCTTTGGCAACCACCACCTTCGTTTTCGACGTCGCAACCCCCCTTTGTTTTCAGGGACAGTTACACGCTTCCTTCGTTTTCGGCGACAGTTACACACTTCGGCAACCCCACCTTTGTTTTCAGAGACAGTTAGACAGTTAACACACTTTGACTACCTCCACCTTCGTTTCCGGCGACCGTTTATTCCAACATCCGGCACCATTTCCAACGACGGTTACACAGTTGCAACTTCCACCTTCAATTTCAAACACAAGGCAACTAAGTTCGCATTTCACCCACGCTCCGCACCACGCTCACCCAAGTCGCATTTCACCTCACGCTTGAGCGTCCGACACGCACGACGCTCTCCGCAAAGGGTTCATCCGGCACACCTGGAATTCGCAGCTCCACCTCACGCTTGAGCATCCCACACGCATTTCACCTCACGCTTGAGCGCCCAACATACACAATCTCTGCAAAGGGTTCACCCAGCACACCTAGGATTCGCATTTCGCCTCACGTTTGCACCGCTCGACGCGAATAGGGTTTAATGTGCGTCCATGCCAGAATTCGCATTCTCCGCAGAGGGTTCACCCAGCCACACGCAAGCCAGAATTCGCTCGCCCCCTCACGTTTGAGCACTCGATGCGCAGGATCTCAGCAGAGGGTCTCGGCCAGGCCCCCGCCTAAGAAAGAATGGATAAAGAGCCGGCCAAGATGCGTCACGCACGCGCGAGCAAAAAAATGCTTGACTCTACGATGACCGTTAACACGCGCTTCCTTTTGCATATGTGGCTGTGGCTACTGCAGCAAGACACGTGTTGCAAAAACTCCCCCAATTGTATCTGATAATGTTCCAGTCGTATCTGCGCTGTAAAATTGGGGCGGTTTGCGAACCTGGTCATATGCCTGCGGCGCTGGCTTGGCCATGCGCTGAGACTGTCCTACAAAAGTGTCACGCGTCGAGATGATCCTTGAGAGTCTTGGGGTTGACCTATTCCAGCCCCTTGGAGTGGGCCAACCCCGGGGGACCAAGCAGTCAACCCTTGAAGCTATGTTTCTTATTGGTAGCGACCCAGACTCTCAAGGATCATCTTGACCCTCGTCGCGCGATGCGTGACACTTTTGTGGGACATTCTCAGCATATGGCCAAGCCAGCGCCACAGGCATATGACCAGGGCTTCACAAACTGCCCCAATTTTACAGCACAGATACAACTGGAACATTCTCAGATACAATTGGGGGAGTTTTGTATTGCCACCTCCAGTAGCTGCAGATTCACTTGTAGCATACATATTGTAGCACACCTACAGACGCAGACGCCGCTGTACAACCTCAAATGTATTTGCCACCTCTCTGTAGCAGCAGCTCTACAGAACCACGCCTGCAAAGCTGCAGATGTACTTTTAGCATACAAACGCTGCTATATATATCCAACAAATTACCACCTCCGTAGCAGCAGCTCAAGAAAACCACACTTGCAAGCTGCAGATGTACTTGGAGCATACATACAAAGGCAGCTACATATATCTAAAAGTCTAAAAGCGTATTGACGCAAATCTGTAACGCAAAAGATTTCTACAGAAGAACCCTTCGCAACGCTCCTGGGAATTACAATAAGTCCAAAATTGAAGATGCCTCAAAAAAATGCTCAAAACTGGAAGTTTGTAGCGCAAACCGCTCAGGCCAAACCAGGGTTGCGCATCGCCGGCAGCCGCCCACATAGCTTATGAAAGAATTCGCTACGGTTTGTCTTTATCCACTGGCTGTTAAACATATACATGTGTATAGCTGTGTGTAAGCACACGCGTACACAAGGAGGTTCCCTCTAACAACTGTAGGTAAAGATCGTGGTGACTGGCAGCCCATGGGTTGGACTACTTTATACAGGTTCTTGTGGATGTTGCGAACAAACTTGTAACTTGTCCCCAATCATCCGAGAGTCTGTCACGCCGAAATCTTTCTCCATACTAGGAGCTCTCGTAAAGCGTCGTTGGCACCAGCCAACAGCTGAGCAGCAAGCGGGTGCGATCCTGGAGCATCGGCCGCTGTCACGGTGGCAAAACATGCGCAGCAAAGAACAAACCTGGGATGATGATGCTTGCGTGGAATGTGTATGCGCGCGCATTCGCGCGCAATATGCTGGATGGTCTTTCTCCAGATCTGTTCGGTGCCATCCTGACGCTCTGTTTTCTGGCATCTTCGACGCACCCTCTCAGCTCGGGTTATCAAGCGCGCGCGCAACACCTCGAACTAGTTTGGGCCTTCTTTCACTCACCATGCACACAGACACTTGCACCAAGCTCAATCATCGTCCTCTCCCACCAAGTGTTGGTGGCGATAGAGACCATCTCTAAAGCGCGCAGCATGAAAGTTCTCCTCCACTATCATTTCTTCGTGGATCTCAACTGCCTCTTCGATCCTCTTAGATCGACCAGGTTTGCTCCAAACCTTTCTGGTCCAGCAAGCCTTGATCACATTCCCCTCAAGCGCATAAGTCCCTTGCAGCTCAGTGGTTCCAAACTGGAAATTTGCCAACCGCTTGCCTTGCAGGATGCAGAGAAACACATTTTGTAGCACCAAGAAAGAAATCCATTGAACTAGCTCCAGACAATTGTACCATGCAATGCAACAAACGCGCCGCTAAAGGCAATAAGGTCACATCAAAACAGTGCTTTGAACATAACCATGGCATAGCACACCTCAACACCTGTGTGGGAAACGCAGCATCCTGGGAGTGTCTGATGAGCACTCACATTTTGGATCTCAGTTTACAACGCAACAAACACCCTTCACCCATCATCCCCGCAGCAGGCCACCAACTATCGGCGCATTGCATCTGTAAAAAATCTTAAAGCTGCATCGTTCGTTTTGGGCGCGTTTTGTTTTTTTCTTTGAAGTGTTCTTTTGGGTTTTGCTACGGCTGCTATAGGGTGTTCCCTACGGGGCTTTAGGAAAGTTCGCGGCATCGTATAGGCGTCTGGCACCGAGGGGTCATCCCCTACCCCCAACTGTTTCGTTGGGGTTCATTTCGGCATGGTGATGGTGGTGGTGGTGGTGGTGGTGGTGGAGGTTCGGCGCAGGCTTAGGTTTGAAGGTCTAAGTCCCAAGTTCTAGACGAGACGCCGCGTCACATGTGCTGCGACAAAATCTGCACTTCAAAGGTCCACAACGTATACACCTACTGCGCCTGACACGAAATCTGCACCTCAAGGTCTACAAAGCATCGCGCCTGCCACGAAATCTGCACTTCAAGGTCCACAAAGGACTTCACCTGCCCCGAAGCCTGCGTTTCATGGTTTACAAAAATATTTCGCCTGCCATGGACTCGGCAACTCAAGGTCCACAAAGCACTGCCCCTGCCACGAAATCTGCATCTAAAGGTCCACAAAGCACTGCCTGTCGCGAAGTCTGCCGTTCAAGGTCCACAAAGTACTGCGCCTGCCACAAAATCTGCACATCAAGATTCACATCGCGCAGCCCTGCCAAGGTGATTCGCAGCAACAGCACTTCCAAAGACAAGATCAAGATGCCAAAGCGCAGCTTTCGCTCAAAACTTCCTCCGGTTTCTCAACGAGCCACATGTCCAAAAGTCGCGACTCACTGCACCTGCCAAGAAATCAGAGCGTGCCAAAGACCGCCACCATGTCCAAAGCCCCGCGCCTGTCACATCGACAAAAAAGATGCGCGGGTCTCCTGCACACTGTAAATAGCAGCGGATTAGCCGCAATGGCAAACGCCGACGAGCGCCTCGATCAGACACCCGTTCTTGACCATAAGAGCACCGACTTTGGGGAAAAACCCAATAACGAACTCCACCACAACCAAAAGCAAGGTATCAAAAACCAACCTGCTACCAAACCTCAGCCCAAACCCACACAAGCCACCAAAACCTCACAGCCACCAAATTGCAAGTTCACCAAAAAGCTATCAGTCAACAGAAGAAGCTATCAAAAACTGGCCATACAAATCCAACGAAGTCAACGAAGAAAGAGGCAAGCCATCAAAAAAACAAGATGGAGCCCACGAACCCGAATGCAAACACGGTCGAAAAGCTACATATGTCCAAATGACACTCTTGTAGGACACTCTTGTGGGTCACTCGTGTAGGCAACTCTTGTGGGCAACTCTTGTGGGACACTCTTACAGTAGGACACTCTTGCGGGACACTCTTATAGGACACTCTTGTGGGACACTCTTGTGGGACACTGTTGCGGGACACTCTTGTGGGACACTCTTGTGGGAAACTCGTACGGGACACTCTTGCGGGACACTCTTGTGGGTCACTATATCTGGGACACTCTTGCGGGACACTCTTGTAGGACACTCTTGACACTCTTGTAGGACACTCTTGTGGGTCACTCGCGTGGGAAACTCTTGTGGGGCACTCTTACGGGGCACTCTTGTGGGACACTCTTGTAGGACACTCTTGTGGGCCACTCTTATGAGGCACTCTTGTAGGACACTCTTGTGGACCACTCTTATAGGACACTCTTGTGGGACACTCTTGTGGGACACTCTTGTAGGACACTCTTGTGGGGCACTCTTGTGGGACACTCTTGTGGGTCACTCTGGGGCACTCGTTTGGGACACTCTTGTAGGACACTCTTGTGGGTCACTCATGTAGGAAACTCTTGCGGGACACTCTTGTAGGACACTCTTGTGGGTCACTCTGGGGCACTCGTTTGGGACACACTTATAGGACACTCTTGTGGGACACTGTTGCGGGACACTCTTGTGGGACACTCTTGTGGGAAACTCGTACGGGACACTCTTGTGGGTCACTATATCTGGGACACTCTTGCGGGACGCTCTTGTAGGACACTCTTGTGGGGCACTCTTATAGGACACTCTTGTGGGACACTCTTGTGGGACACTCCTACAAGACTCTCGTGGGACACTCTCGCGCGTCACTCTATCTGGGACACTCTTGTGAGACACTCTTGTAGGACACTCTTTCCCTTGCGCCTGCCACGAAGAGTGACCACCATGCACGAAAATGCGCACGGCGCCACAACGAGAGCGCAGTCGCTAGAAGCACCTGCCGCCGGCCCCCAGATTCTGCGAGCCTGCGCAGTCGAAATGCACATTGACGATGTCGAGAGGCATGAATGCACTGTAAATAGCAGCAAATTAGCCGGACACGCCCGCGCGGAACAGCGATCTAAGCACAGCTGCTTTTATTTTCCACTACCGTAAAAACCCCTAGTGTGTCCACACTGTTTGGGAAACAAACCTAACCCAACACAAAGCCACACAAGCCACTACAAGCCTAGAAGCAAAAGCCACAGATGCAGAAACCACCAAAGCCCAAACAAAGCCACAAACGCCGAACAAACCAAAATCCACAGAAGCCCCAGAACGCCCAGAAAAGCAACAGAAGCCACCGAAGCCAAGCAAAAGAGTCCTATACTGTAGGACAAAAACTAGACGACGAATGGCGCCCGAGTGTTTGGTTACACGCGCAATAAAAGTTCTGCGGTTGTTCAGTATGTCTTATATTCTGTACCAAGGCATGTGGGTCACGCATCTTCTTACTTGTCGCCTTGCAACAAGGTGGCCCGACAGCACAATAGGAGATGACACAAGGAAACGAGATGATTCTGACGACGACACTGCTCAGCTCCAAGATTAAGTAGATGTGACAATCTCAAGATATACCTGCGAGGCCTGCGCTGGACCCATGTACAGCACTCTTGCAGGGACAATCTTGTAGGACAGTGTTTCTGGACACCCTTGCGGGACACTCTTCTAAGCCGCACGCACCTGCAGTATGTATAGGACACCCTTTGCAAAACGGACCTTTGAAAGACAGTGGGTGTCCGGCGCTCTTGCGACACTCTTGTAAGGCATTCTTGTGGCGCACCCACCAAGCCTGGTGGACCCCGCCAGTCATCCCGCTCCCCAAAATCACGCTGTGTTTACGCCACACCGCGCGCCACAGAGTAGACACAACAATGTAACACCAAGCCTCTTGATTGACACCACACAAATTCCCGCTCGCCAGCAACACACCGCGCGTGCACGGGAGCCTCCCATTCCCCGATCGCACACAGCCACGCAATTGCAATTTCCACTGAGACCTCCCAGACGCTGCTTCCCCGACGGCACCTTGCACACAAAGTTCCACGTCCTGAGTTCAGGCTCCCAGACACCGGCCCCCGAACTGGTAACTGCGTTGCGCGAAAAA